CTCATTGGCACCAAATCCACTTTATCTAAAACCAACAGCTTTTCTCTAACAATTGATAACTCCACCTTCCCCCCAGGTTAAGAGTCAGGGCGTCATCCTTGACAGCACACTATCCTTTCAATCCCACATCAATAACATTACCAGGTCTGCCTGCTTCCATCTACGAAACATCAACTCCCTCCACCTCTACCTTACTCCACGTCCACAGCCTCGTGACTTTTGGTCTGGATTATTGCAATTCTTTCTTCTTCTCTACCCCTCATAAATCCTTCCATAAACTTCAACTGGTGCAGAATTCAGCTGCCCATAGCATCACTCGAACTCCTCGATCCACCATGTCCTCCAACAGCTCCACTTGGTGCCAGTTCAGTGTCATATTCAATGCAAAGTTCTGCTGCTAACATTCAGGTCCATCCACAACCTCACTCCCCCATATCTGACTGACCTTATCCATGTTCCCTCCTGCTCCCTCAGATCCTCTTCCTCCATACACCTGTCCTGCCTGTATCAGTAACATGGAGAGAAAATCATTAAGCTGCTCTGCTCCCCTTATATGGAATTCATTACTATCCCAACTAAGATACATCGACTCACTCCCCATTTCAAATCACAACTTTTCTATCTGAGGCCTATTGATATTGCCATTGCCTCTGTCTATTTTATTGATGTTATTGATCTTTATTGTTGTTTATTTTAATGCATTTTCGTGTATCTTTGTATGGTGTCCTTAAGTGTTGAGAAATTAACCTTCAAATAAAATGTATTATTATTTTAAAAAGTGTGTGGTTTCTCTGCATCTTGTTCAAAAAGGCATTTATGGAATTATGTTTTCCATAGAACATTCTGCAGAGTATGGATTGGTATGTTTGCATATATTGTATGCTTCTATTAAAGTCATGGATTTTTATTGTTGTGTGATTATTGAATTTTCAAAAAGCGCAGTTTTTCTGAATTTTGCACAGTCTGCTCTTTAGGTTTGTCATGTAGAACATCAGCTCTTAGGAATATTTTTAGATGTCAGAAAAGTGTTAACTTGTTTGTACTTGCAAGCGATCATTCTATCAGTACTCCGAAATCTGGTCATTTCAAGGCAGAAAAATTAAAGGCAATACATGCATTTTGGATTCAATTTTGTTACGTTTGCTGCAGCTGTTGATCCCAGCTATGTTTCCGTTATAACTTTGTTTTTTATTCTATCCTGATCAGAGGTAAAACTAAATGTATTCATTTTAAACCACATAACAGGAATGATGAAAACTAATCAGACCTCACCTCCAAAAAAATAGTCTGCTAAACAGTTGAAAGATTACCACACCACATTCATTTGCACAGCGCCTTAAAAGCAACACATTGTCAGCGATGTTGTTACCATTATGAGCAACCAGTTGCTGGACCTAAGGGGGTTAAACTCGGCAGGTTTTCAGCAGTTTGGACACATATAGTTATGCTTGGCCACCAAGAGACTTAAAAACATAAAAAAACAACTTTAAACTATTGTCTAAAACACATGACGCGCTCCTGTTTCTTTGTACAAACTGCTCTGTTCCATTTTGCACAAGTTGAAGCCAAGGGTGAGGTGACAGATGCAGGAGTTTGTCTGATGCTGAGGTTTGTCCTGCAATGCAAGGGTTGTCAGTGCAAGCCTCCTGCCTTCAGTGGTGTTGTATCCACTTCAACTGTATTCCCTGCTAACGGTGGTAAGATGATCTTCGAGCATTAGTGTACAGCCTTTCTTCTGTCAGTGAGCCCCAGGGCAGCTGTGGCTACAATGTAGTTTGCCACCATCAGTATTGAATTAAGTGTGAAGCGCTTTGGTCAAGTCTCCTGACTTGAAAGAGCACTATATAAGTTCAGGCCATTTACCATGACATACCCTGGATAATTTCTGATGAAAGAGAATTACAATAATCCAGCTGGCAAATTATAAAAGCATAGATGACTGGTTCCAGTTTACGCCTAGAAAAAGAAGGCTTGATCTTAGAGAGATGTCTATAATAGAAGAATTATGATTTCATGGCTATCAAACTTTAGTGCACAGTATATTTGAACCCCTAAGTAGGTGACAACAGATGAGTCAGGATGCTGAAATTAGCACAGGCAGTTAGATGAATTGGAACTTAAAATAATTTCTGTTTAAAGTTCATTAAAAATCAAGTAATAGAAATGTTAAATGGCCTGTAATTTAGGGCCTTTTCAAGTAAGAGGAAAGCGTTTTACATTATATTCAGTCAGTCTCCTATGATGTTGGCAAGCTAGATTGCAGCCACAGCTCTGCTGGGGCTCTGAAATGAAGACTCATCCATGATATGATGTCACTAAGACACTTAAAATTCAACTAATTGAAATAAGAAAGACATTTTTGCATCGCCACCAAAATTCAACAGCAACAGTTTAGAGTTTTTTTTCTTAACAGTCCAGTGAATCATTGCGCTGAGATTCCATTGTTGTTGCTTTTCTGCTGCAGCCGTCCCAGGTTTATTTTTTACCCTCACATTTTCCTCAGGCCTTCTCTCGTTTAGTCAGTGAATGGAGCAAATGAACAGTTGTTTATTAACATGTCGTTCTCCACTAGCTGCTCAGAGTTTAATGGGGCAAATCAGCCACATATTTCCCTCCACTCCCCCTAACTGTAGCACTGACCTTTAAGTTATGGCTGAACTCTGTAGTTGGTGATTTTCTTGTGATAAAATCTGAATCTCATTTTCTAGAAACCAGTGAATGGAAAGTTGTAGTACGACCAGAAGAATTGGCTTCGATGAGAGGGCTTTGAGAGACAAATACAATGCTGGTCTCATTTGTACTTTACGCAACCCTGGTAAAGGTGTATTATATTCTTTAAAATTAGTTAATCTTTTATTCCAGTATCAAAATCTTTACATGGGAATACATACAAAGATGGAAGTACGATTAATTCTTTGAAATAAATGAATGGAAGCATTTTTAGTTAGATTTTTGTAGCAACGTTGAATAGGTAATCCTTGATTTTTCCATTTTCCTAGTAAACCAGAGGCACAAATAGTTTAAGGCATTGTTAATTTTGCTACTTGAGGACCCAGGTCTGTCTTATCACCAAATGTACTGAAATGGATGCTAAAGGAATTAAATATACCTGTATTGTTCCCAAATAAAGAACTTAGCAAAGAGGAGCCCTCTCTGGGTCACCAGCTCATCATAAAAACATGCTGTCCAGTTTTTTTGGGAATTTTGCAAGAAAAACAAAAAACAAAACAAAGCCTTCCCTCTCCTGCCATCACAGATATAAATATATGGAGTTTTCTTAACTCCCCTGGGAATGGAACTTGAACGGTGATAAGACAAAAAGTCAATTTGAGTTTAGTGTTAAACAACAGATGAACCACATTAGGGTCAGTCGCATAACTGGAACAGTGGGAAAACTGATGAGTCTACAAATAAACTGAAATCTGCAATCATCTTTCCAAATGGTCTGATAAACACAAGAATGGATAATATGGAAAAGCTGTAGGGTTTAGTTTAGCCTATAAAGATTGTCCAATGGAAAATAAAAATTTCAGTCTCTACTGGTTTACAGTCTGTAGCTATTTTTTTTATTATCCTTTTTTCCTTTCTTCCTTGCAGGGGTACTGTTGATGATTCCATTAGTGAATTTGATAATAAACAAATTTGCCCCAATGATTGAATCTACTCATATTCAAATTTATATTTTTCCCTGTTTTTTCAGTTTACTGTATCTATTTATTTATCCATCCATCTTCTCCTGCTTATTTCGTCTGGGTCATTGTGGGGCCACTGGCTGTCTCCAGCAGTTTATGGGCAAGACGCATGGTACATCCTGGGCAGGTTGCCAGTCTGTTGCAGGGCAACACAGGGTCATATAACCATTCACACCTAAGGACAAATAAGAGATGCCAATGGACCTAACAGTCGTGTCTTTGGATGGTGGGAAGAAACTAGAATACCCAGCGAGAACCCAAGCATGCACGGGTAGAACATGCAAACCAGGGGCTGAACTAGATGGGGGGCCAGGGGTGGGCATTTACATTTTTCATAAGTTAACATTTACTTGACAAAAAAGATACTGTGGTTAATTATGCACATAAATATACTGACATTAAAGATAAGTGCATAATCCATGCTTATGTGTGCTTGTGTTATATGGGGTAAAGAGAAAATGATGTGTCTCTGCAAGTCATCTACAGTAGGAGACTTCAGTGAAATCATAGATAAATGACTATTTTAATGAAAACGTATTAAATAATCAATTTATGTAGATATTTTTACAGAATGATTATTGACAAAAATAAGTAATGACAATGGAAAAGATGTTTTCCCCAGAACTTAAACCTGAAAGAATTGCATACATTATATATGCGTATTTGTTAGCAAAGGCTGTAGGAAAGTATAGTTTGTCTTCATTTAGAAAATATGGATGTTTTCCTTGGTAATGTTACTGTTTGATCAGTGTAGCTTAACCCTGAGGTTCTGGTGTCTATCCACTTTCTGCCACCCCTCAATGTACATTGGTTATTGCCTGGACACCCTTATAAAACTTTTCTGGCTACGCCTCTGATGCAAACTCCATGCAGAAAAAAGATCCCAGGCGGGGAATCGAACCCAGACCCTTCCTGCAGCAACAGTGCTACAAGCTGCACAACCCTGTAGCCCTCATTCATTTATATATTTATTTATTCTTTTTTTTTCAGCTATTTATATTCATTTCCTACCAGTTGTGCAAAGAAATGTGATGGTGGAGCCAGTGATCCAATCACTGAAGTGAATTGGGCTGACTGACCTAGGATAAGATAATATTGTGGGGGTTGTGTTGGACACAGAGCTGATTGCAAAGAATTGATTTGACGCATTGACTGATGTGGACCTGCATGCTGTTGGGTGGAGGGGGGTCACTTTGCACAGAGCTGAGCTGGCACTAACACACTGACCGTCATCCGGGGAAGGAGAGTCACGTCGCATTCCACGGCTGAGCGTCCACATGGACCCCCCCCCGCCTCCTAGTGAAGCTGGCGCATATAAAACCCAGCGAGGCGCCCCTCCCGGACAAAGTGAGGTCCAGTCTGACCGGAGGAGCGCTCTGTATGGATTGTAGCGCACTTCAGCATCATCATCCTTTAACTGAGTGTTAGGATACGGGACATCTGTGGCCGCTCCTCGCTTCTCAGTAAGAGACATTTATCTTTTAAAACTACGTGGGGGGGTCACGTTTATGCAATCGATGCATAAACATGACGCAGTTTTCTGTTTACATTTCTTAAAAGGGAAACAATTTCATGCAGATACAAAATAAGTAGACATTTTGGGATTTTAAAGATGAAAATCAAGTGAACTATTAGTAATTTCGAGGAATATACCGCAAAGATAACGTTTACGTCACAGCGGACTGATGTCATCTTATAAAACCTTTATTGATGTGATTAGCTGTGAATAGGGCTGTGCGATTTCGTGCGATTGTGAACTTTCTGCATGTACATTCAGATCTATAATCAGCGTCACTGATCGCTGTGGGTCATATGAAGCAGCATCACAGTGCATCACTGCGCCCAGCGGGCCGGAAGCTGGATAGCTGGTTGCCATGGTAATAAGAGGGCTTGCCCCCGCTCGGGACAGCTGCCAAGAGACCACACCCTTGCATCTCCACTGCTTATGCTGCAGATTTTATTTGGACTATATGGGAAAAGATCAATTGAAAGGATTTAAATGGAAAGTAAAAAAACATTTCTATCTCACAATATTGCATTGATTACAATTCCTCACTTTCAATTGTATCATTAGAGCTGTTTTAGTGTGATTTTATTTGATTAAATAATGCAAAGCCGAGGATAATTCTCAATGGAAATAACTTTTTTAAATTAATTTTCAAAAACAAAATGATAACTAAAAAATCTACAAAATCCATTGCGACCATTAACCTTCCAAAGTCAATAAATTAGCAGTATGTTTCCATGTGACAATGTATTGCAGTACAACAACAGCTGTTCTGGTCTGAGGAGAGGTTTCAGCACTGTATCTGTATGCTGAAACATGGAGGGGGCATTATCATAGTGTGGGAAAACGATTAACATGGAAAGAAAATCTGGTACACTTTAATGAGAAGGATGAAGTTAATAATGGAAAATTGTAAATGGTTGTCCTGTGTTGAACATCGATGTACGGAAGAGGATTAGGGCACTGAAAAAATAAAAAAAAAGTTAACTGATTTCTACATTTTATTTCAGTATAATATGACAAAAAGTCAGAAATCTGACTTTAATCTCAGAATTCTGACTTTTGTCTCACAAAGAACAGTCAGAATTCTGAGGAAAAAGTCTGAATTCTGAGATTAAAGTCAGAATTTGGAGAAAAAAGTCAGAATTCTGAGATTAAAATTCATCATTCCCAAATTAAACTGAAATAAAATTTAAAAATCAGTCAACTTTTTTTTATTTTTTCAGTGTCCCAAATCCTCTTCCGTATCTATTTGTAGAAATGGCCCTGTACTATTTTAGATAAACCTGAATCAAACTAAGAATGTATAGCAGTGTTATTTTTGTCCCCATACAATTTTTCTTTTTGAAGACAATTCACAATAATTTTTCAAGTAAAAGTAGTAGAAACACATCCCACAGCTCATAGGACCACCAAAGTTACAGCCAATAAAACTAAAATAGAGTTTGTAAAGCAAGAAGTTACAGATGCAGTTTAGAAAAATGTACAAATACAGCTGTACAAATACAGTGCATTTTTAGAGGGGCTTAATATTAAAATTGTATCTGTAAGAAATGCTTTTCGGTTGGTCATTCTTAAAAATTTGCAATACACTCATAAAAATATTTCACCCAAATTTTAAAATGTGTGTAATTTTATTTCATAACAAATGCCCATTAACTGTGTTTTGATAATTTTAACAGAAACCTATTAAGCTTACATGATGCATATTCATTTCTATAATAGAGCTCATTTAGTTGAAATACATAATCATCAGGTTTATGTATTTAGTATTAAAAAAGTACAGTTACTCAAATGTAATACTATGAGTGTATTTATTTCCAATGTATAAAATGTATTGTTTGAATTACATAAAGGTTAATTATTATTATGCAATTCAAACAAATAAACTTAATGTATTTTAATATTAATTCTCGATACATTAACCCGATACATTTCAAATAGATAAGCTATGTTAAAATAGTGATTATGCATTGTGTAAGGTTTATTGAAAGGTTTGTGTAAAAATTATCTAAAAAAAATAAATAAAAAAAAAGTAAATGGGAATTTTTTTAAATAATAAAATTACATAAATCTTAAAATTTGCCTGCAATATTTAGTAAATTTTGTGGTTTAACCAAATCAAGTGTGTAAAACATTTGAAAAGCTTTTGAAAAACATTTGCAAGTCAGTGTGTGAGAGACATGAAGTGAGTTTGCTTCGTTAATTCTGATTTAACTCTGTCTGTGACATCTTATCCCTTCAGGAGAGCCACCATCCCCACATTGTTCACTATAGATTCAAAGGAGACCTGCCATGGCGAACCGAGGGCCCAGTTACGGACTGAGCCGGGAGGTGCAGGAAAAGATTGAACAGAAGTATGATCCGGACCTGGAGCAGCGCCTGGTAGACTGGATAGTTGCACAGTGTGGAGGAAACCTGGAGAAACCGCAGCCGGGCAAGCAGAACTTCCAGAAATGGCTGATGGACGGAACGGTGAGTGGCTGCAGCCCCTCATCGCCTAAAATAGAAATACTTTGAATTATTAAGATGCAATATAAAGCACTGACAGCGTTTGAATGGCTGCCACAAGATGGCGAATTTATGTACCCAGTTATGTTTTAACCTTAGATTAATAGTTTTGCCCTCAAGTTAGAGATCTAAAATCAGTTTTAAATCTCTAACCTTTATCAGTTTGTAATTATTTTCCTATCTAAAGGCTGAACGTGAAGTTGGGTTAAAAAAATATGTTAAAATTTAAATACCTTATTATTTCTTTTGTTTTGTTACAACCATTCAGTAATTCTGGGCTTCCTGAAGACGAACATTACATTTCTTATTAAGACTTAATTTTCAGTAGTATAAAACAGACCCAACTGCATTGTGCAAAGCAGAGCAGCTGAGGATGCTGACAAAAACAAAAAATTCTTAGGCACCCACTGAAGCAAATAACAAGAAAGAAAATGTCAATTTCTGCACAGAAAAAGCAAAGCTTTAGATAAAATGTCTCTTACAATTTGATTATGTTAATAGTATTATTTTTTATTAGAGGGTCTTTTTCTGTACTTTTCAGGTTTAGAAGCCAAGTAAGGGTCAATCTGTGCTCCCTCTTGAGGAGAGTGGTCTATTCTAGGAGATATCTTAAATCTGTGGCTCCAAAGGAAGCAACTGTAAAAACTGAAGCACATGTTTACTCTGAATTAGACGTCATTAGACATCCAGTAGCTACTGAGTGCATCATAATGGCTTAGTGCAGAGGTTGTGTTCATAGGATGACTAAGCCAGATCTCTCTCCTCCATCTGTACCAGATTCTCTGTCGACTCATCAACAGTCTTTATCCACGGGGCAAAGAACCCATTAAAAAAATCCCTGAGACCCAGATGGCCTTTAAACAAATGGAGAAGATCTCCCAGTTCCTGCAAGCGGCAGAAGCTTATGGAGTCACCACCACAGATATTTTTCAAACTGTGGACCTCTGGGAAGGTAAGGAGATCTTAGAAACCTTTTTACCTCTTAGTCTGTCCCCCTAGAACTCTGCATATCCACTAGTAGATACCTGTTAAAATAAGATAACTTTATTGTCCATCACACTGTCTGAGACTAGGATATGAATTCGACATCTGGCAGTGATTGGTACATGAAACACATAGTTTAGAAGGTATATCTATCTGCTGCAAAATGGATGGATGGATGGATGGATGGATGGATGGATGGATGGATGGATGGATGGATGGATGGATGGATGGATGGATGGAGGGAGGGAAGTGGAGCCCCAAATTAAACTTGTCTTCCCAGGGCCGTCCTGTTTTTAGCTCCATCCATCTTTCTAAGACCTCTCAGTAGCTTTCGTGTCCCTTTTGAAGAAAAGCATGATGCTGCCATCACCGTATCCCACCATTGGGATGGTGTGTTCAATTCTTTGAGGCCTTCACATAATAGCTGTATGAGTTCTGAGTCTACGCACTGGTTAGCTGACCTACAAAGGTAATGTTTGCATTGCATCTTTTTTAGGGGTGACAGAATAAAACGGACTGAATATAAATGCATGAAACATTTTCAGACCCATGTTTGTAAAAAAAAACTGAAAATTTGGGATTTGTTTTTTTATATAAATAGGTATAACATACACAAACTCATCTCCTGTATTCTTAATATGAAGTTAGATATATTTTAAATTTAGAAAAGCCTACTACAAATTATTATTCAAGAACAAATTCATTCTTATAATCTATGGACCCCCCTAAGATAACCCTAAACCCTGGCCCTCCCCATTAATAAAAGTCTATTTCCACCACTGCTCATCTACAAACCTTTGTCCACATGTTTGCTGGTTATAGGCAAAGATATGGCAGCGGTGCAAAGGACCCTGATGGCCCTGGGGAGTTTGGCCGTCACAAAGGACGATGGCCAATACAAAGGTGACCGAGACTGGTTCCACAGGTATGGGAAGCTACTCAAAAAGCCTCAAAAACCAACCTTCAGGTCCCTAACATGTACCTTGCTTCTTTCTGGTTGTGCATGCTGCAGGAAAGCCCAGGGGTACCGGCGAGAGTTCTCCCAAGAGCAGCTGCGCCAAGGACAGAGTTTGATCGGCCTGCAAATGGGCAGCAACCGCGGTGCTTCCCAGGCTGGCATGACGGGCTACGGTATGCATCGTCAGATTATGTAGACCCCCCCTACACCACTTGATCTCAGACTTTCTTTTCTACTAATTCCACAAATGCTGTAGCCCTAAGCTTTGCCACATTTCCCGTTTTAACCTCAACTTCCCTAGAAATGCTGCTTCTGCTCGAGAGTTTTCCTTCACTCCGTAATAAAATGATGTCATCTGTACTAGAGCTTTATGTCTTAATGCTTCCTCTATACTGCTCCTGTTTTATTCCCTTTTTTCCCTCCATATTATACTTTTGGCTACCGGTAATCAATGTGTATTTTTTTTATTCATGGAGTCTTAAAAGAATTTTAAATACAATAAAAGCCATCTGTACTGTACAGTTGTTTACAGAGATACATAAACTGACTGTTAAGGCATGCTGTATGTATTGGTATTTATATATTTCCTAAATTCTGGCGATTGTAGAATATTCTGTTCCTGTGTTGTTATTTTGCCTTAGTCCTAGCAAGGCTCAATATGTGATGATGTCTCTGCTATCTTGTCTGAACCAAATCAGCCTCACGTTGTGCCTGGTTATGGGGCTTCAAAGGCTGAGTCCTTGATCTGCTTGTATTAAATTAAAGATGGGCGCCATTTGTTCTGAGCCATGCCCTCATTTATTATCTGTTACATATTTGTTTAACCTGTGTCTAAAATGTGCACGGTGTAACATGTGAATGTGCAGTAGCCAACACGTATGACAATAAAGGGTTGATGGTCCCGGGTAAACCTGTCGCTTGAATGTGTGCTGTTTATGTGTGAAACGTTTGTATTTTAGACATATATTTATATTTAGAGGTGTGTCAGAAGTATTACTGGAATGATAAAATATAAGATATATTTTTTCTCATTTTTGAGATGGAGTGAAATCTGTGTGCTCAAAGTTAGCATTGAGTGATGTTTGTCTCTTATCTTGGCTTTATGTTCCAGCTCCTCCCTTGCTGCCACCCTTATTGTCTCTCCTCTCTATGCACAATCTAATAAAGCCTCTACAGTACAGCGTAATAATTTGGATGTTGTTTTTTATTTAAGCCAGAGTAACAGTAACCCTTTGTTAGCAGCACGAGTGTGAAATTAAATCTCTCTATTTTCTTTTTATGATGTTATAGGCTTATTTTCCCTATGATGAAGGTGGAGGATGACAATCATTTCAGTGAGAAATCACAGGGATCAGTTGCCAGGCTAGTTCAGGCTTTATATGTAAAACTGATCAAATGACAGGTTTCCATTAATGGGACCGTTCCTTAATAAATTTTTGTATATTTAAGTCTAATTTGAAGACACCTATTGTAAATACGATCCAAAGAACCCCAAGAGCTTCAGGAGGCAACAACAATCACCTACTTGACCCTTGGAATTAAATCAGTTAATGGAAATCTTTTTTGGTTAATTCATACGTCAATATATTTTTTAAACAACAGGGAACATACTTGTTAGTTCAGGGATAAATGCAAGGAAAAGGTTAAAGTTTCTTTAGGTTATTATTATATAGGTTAGAATCTCAAGTAGAGCGCAATTCAATCCAGGGGTGCTTTTAGGATGGTAAAGTATTGGAGTCTGTAGCCCAGTCCCCAAAACGTTACATTTTCATAAGATAATGGCACAGTTTTAAATTCTCAATGGAGATAAAACAGGACATAGCGTACTAGTTGTTTGCCTTGGCTTGAATTAAAATATAAAGAAAAATATAAATTGTGATTTAAACCAAAGAATGTTTACAATAATTTTACCATTTTTTTTTTTTTATTATTTGAAGTGAAGGATGAAGATAACCCGAGTTTAGGATCGGAGGAAAAAATAACTTTTAAGAAGTAGAGCATTATGCATTTTAGGATATCTAAAATAAAAAACAATCCAGTGTTTTGCTGGTTCTTTTTGACAAAAGTTGTTTTTTAACTCAGAAAAACAATGTTTATTTTGGGTCAAATGAGTTTTACATCTAAGGGAAATGGTGAGATTTAAGGTGAAAAAATATTGCTCAGATAGGAGAATGTGTTTAATCTTGGATGAAAGCCGTAGAGAAAACAACAAAGTAGAAAAGATTGAACATCTTGGAGAAAAAAAAAAAAAAAAACTCCTCTATAATGAGACATGTATTATTATGAGTCATTTGCAACCTGTTAAGCCTGCATATGCCTAGTGATTGGAATCCATGTTTACCAACCAGCAGGGCAGCAAAACTGAGCATAGAGCCAGAGCTACAATGGTGTGGTTTATTTCAAACTACAGTATATGGTGTTTAGGTATGGCCATGCAAAAGTCCAGACCACGTCAAATGGGAAATCTATGGAAAGACATAAAACTGATTCATTAAAGCTTTTCTGAATGATGTGAAATAATGTCAGCCTAGAGGTATACCCCTGAAACTAGCAGCTGTGAAGGCAACAATGGTGGTTCAAGTATTGGCCCACAAAACAAATACAGGCTATACTTTTTACATTTCAAATGTAAAAAAACTTTGAAAAAAATGATTCTCTTCTTTACTTGAACCTTTTTTGCTGCCCTATTTAATGCCATTGAGAAATTAATGTTTTTGTCTTTCAAAATAAAACGAGAACATTTTTCAGTTTCTGAATACTTCTGCCAAATCTATAAACACTGGACGTATATTCGGATACAAAGTCATTGGAAGGATGTGTGAATAAAAAGAAAGAGACTGGAAAAGGCCTGAGACCAATGTAATAAAAAACAACAGCTGGTAATTGAGATTTTGAACCCAGCTGTTCATATTTAAAAGCCACTAAACCAATCCATGCCATCTGATATTCTTGTTGCTCCTCTTTTAAATTACACTCATGAAACAAAGCATGCATATTAGCATTGGACAACTAAGCAGAGTCTAATCAGATGTGGATCATTAAACTAAAAGGCTACTGCTCTTTGACATAAAGGTCATTTGATATATCTGATTGTGTTTCATAGTGCAGTAAATAAACCCTGTATCTGCCAATGAGATATCAAAGCATGTAACTATATGCCCAAGTTGAATGTCTTGTTTTGCACAGACAGGCAGCTCAAGTGGAACAATGCGGTTCTGTTTACCTTCCTATTCTCAGACGCTGTGACTCTGGGCTTATTATTAGCCTCAGCTGGACTAGACAAGCATCTGAAGGGCTAGAGGCCATGCATAACTGATGGAGCAGAGTCAATGACTAAACAAGTGAGCCAGTGAGAATGCTCTGAGAAATATGTTAAGCTTTCTCCAGACTGTGAATCTTTGGCTCCTGCTATGAACTTGTCTACTGTTGCATGGGGTTTGACTGAAAGTCCTGATACTGACAGTGTGCATTGACTGAGAGTCTGTAAGTCTGAGCGTTTAGTATGCAAAATGTTGCAGATAAGCTTAAGGGTTGCGCTCCTGCTCCTGCTCTTGGTTGTCAGATGCATTGCAGAGGAATCAACACCGTCTAAAGGTTGCGTTTGCGGGTATCCTGGAATACCGGGCGATCCCGGTCACAACGGTTTACCAGGCAGAGATGGCAGAGACGGACTCAGAGGGGACAAAGGAGAACAAGGTGGGTTGGGAAGAAGACTTAGGAAGATTTAACATGTTTATTAGATTAAAATATTCATTCAGATGAGGGTCATTTGTCAGATTAAAAATACATTCAGCAAAGTTTAACCAGGAGTTAAACGTATTCTAATTTTCATTAAGCTCAGATATCAGGATTACATTATATATATATATATATATTTTTTATTTTTTTTGTGTGTCATATTCAAATGTTAAATTTCATGTTTTCATTACCTTGAACTGGAATATCATTATAATCAAGAATAATCAGGGTGACTAATTTGTGTTTTATTCAGGGAACTTGGTTGCAGATATATTCAATTTTTTTATAATAACATTTTATGAATATGGTTGCATATTTAAAAACCCTTTTAAATTGTTGTTTCATGTGAAGGTGAAATTGGCCCTTCAGGACCAGCTGGTGTTGGAGGCCTAAAGGGAGACAAAGGCGACACTGGTATGTATCTTGAAAATAACAGCCTGTTAAAAAAAAAAAAACAACAAAAAAAAACAAACATGTCTGTTAGTGTTATTTTATTTGCTTACTTTAAAGCATTACATTGAAATTAAGAAAAAAAAAGTAATCATACCCCACTGATGAAAATTATTTTTAAATGATTTTGTAGAAGAACAAAAATTGTTAATGGTTTTCAGCAGTGTTTAGTTGTAATCACCTAAAAATTAGTTATTCTTGTAACGGGACCATAAAAAAAGAAAAAAAAACAGTTGCTCCCACTAACTTTGCAGATTTTGTTAATCAAACTTACGCAATTCTAGTAAAATAAACTAGTCTTTGTTATGACTCTTGATTTTTCTTTCACTCTTATTATGTTTGGTAACTGTATACTCGTTCTCTATAGGTACAAGTGGTGCTACTGGGTCTAAAGGAAAAAAAGGAGATAATGGTGAGAGGGGACCTCCTGGGAAAATGGGCCCCCAAGGAATACAGGGACCATATGGGCCAAAGGGAAGTAAAGGGGATCTTGGCCTGCCAGGACCCCAAGGACCTAAAGGAGATGTAGGGTCTCCAGGACCACATGGTCCAAAGGGGGAAGTTGGTCTTCGAGGTGACAGAGGTATTCAGGGGCCACTGGGACCCCCTGGCAAACCAGGCCCTAAGGGAGAAATGGGTGTTCCGGGTCACAAGGGCAACATTGGTTACCGTGGAGAAAGAGGTGCCCGGGGTGAAAAGGGTGAGGGGGGTGAAAAAGGTGAGTCTCCTGTCATCCCCAAAAGTGCCTTTTCCGTGGGACTAACAGCCCGTAGTAAACTTCCACCAGCTAATACGCCCATCAGGTTTGACAAGATCATTTACAACCAGCAAAATCACTACGACCCACAGTCTGGGAGATTCACCTGCCCCGTGGCAGGCGCCTACTTCTTCACCTACCACATCACCGTCTTCTCCAGAAATGTGAAAGTGGCCCTAATGAAAAATGGGGCCAAAATCATCCACACCATGGACAATTACCAGGCCAGCGAGGACCAGGCAGCAGGGGGCGCTGTGCTGCACTTGGATGTGGGGGACAGAGTGTGGCTGCAGGTGGTTGGAGGAGAGCTATTTAATGGGCTATTTGCTGATGAAGATGATGACACTACTTTCTCTGGGTTTATAATCTTTGGAGCTTAATTAAAGCTATTTGATAGGAGTTGGAAAATCTCCGATAGTATAAAACAGATATGTCTCATTTTAAGGAAATAAATGTTGAATCTTTATATATATGTGAATAAAAACAGGCAATTCAACAATATTCTTGGGGAACTCCTATAATAATTCAGTCTATAGTTAATTTATAGTTCAGAAATAAATCAATTTATACAAAATCTGATTAGAATTAAATTTAACCATTTAAATTGTCGTGTAAAGATGCCACTTCAGATGCAGATTGCGTTTTCTGATATTTGCATTGCGCGGTCTATGATTTTAAACCAGAAGGAACTACTTATTCAATATATTTTATTGAATAAGCAGTAGGATTTCCTTTGTTGTACCTCAGAATATAACTTGCTTAAAAAAGAATAATAAAAAAATTACATATATATATATATATACTGTATATATATATGTGTGTTTGTGTGTATATATTTAAAAATGGCTTTTGCAATGAAATGCTTCTAAAGGTAAGGTAAAGGTTGGGGTCAAACCGAACAATGAGTTATTTACTAATATACCTCATATTTTTTCTGTAACAGTGGGACAGAGATCCTCCATAAAATCAGAAAAGTATAAAACAGAACTTATAAAATCAGTAAGATAATCCCCAAAATTCAAACCTTTAACTTTGTTTTAGTCTTTTTTTTGTAACTCTTATTACTCTGCATTGTTATGATGCTTCAAGCACAAGAGGGCACCCTGCAAGAAAAGTATTTAGACTCCACCAAAAATATATCAGGCTTGTGGGTAGATTAACCGCGTGCTGCATTTTTAACCAAACTGGGCAACAATGTTGCAAGAAATGCACAAAGGTGATTTTTTTTTTTTTTTTTTTATTCTGAACAAATTTTTTTGAGATAAGTCACATTCTGTTTCCAAACCCTGGAAACCAAAACAGAGCAGGTTGGGAAGCAAAGCATTAGGCTGTTTGTAGATGATGAAATGAAACTCATAAGGAACAGAACATGCTGATGGTGAGAAGATTATTAATGGTCTATGCTTACATAAGTTTGGATTTGATTTATCTATTAAATGAACAGGACAATTGTTCTTTTTCTGTATGGAAAACCTTTGAATAAAATCTGTAACGTGTCACCAGACTGAAGTTAAGGTCTTCACTCCTTTATTGGTCTATTAATCTAACATATTGATATGTAAGTTAGATCATTAGATAATAGTGAAGAAAATGCAAGAAGAAGGCTGCAATGAGTTATAATTATAGCATCCACTCCCTCCCCACACACACACACACCCCAACCCACAAAAGAAAAAAGCAAAAAAAAGAAAATTAAACAGTCTGACAGGTTTAAACAAAAGGTACATTCCTCTTTCTGCTTCCCAGTCCAAACACATACTGCCCCTGATGATGCTCTCTAAAAGAAAAAACAAAAAAAACTCTTTTAGGCAATACAATTATTATAGTGTTCTTTTAAATGCCATAATTGTTGTTGTTTTCTTTTAACCCTTTTTAATTCATTCAAAATTAACTGCTCTTTCCAATATTTTGCAATTAGTTTACTTTTGCTGATAAAGTAGTGCATAATAACCACTTTAGCAATCCAATGCCATTGTTAATGTAGGAAGAACTTCTGTTTTATCAATTTCAAAAAGAATATCAATAATAACTAGACATCAGCTCTTAAACTAAACTCTTTTGAGGTATTTTGATGCTCTTACTATAATTGCCAAACCTAAAGCACATGTAGGTGTACTGGGCATTAAACGGAAATGGTAAATGGATGGGAAAATAGGCAGGTTTACTACTAAAATCTAAAAGTAATGAGGGAACAACAAACAGGGGTGCACAGAAGATTTGTACATACTGTATGAGTATTTGTATATAAGATGTATGTAGACAGA